GTTTCATGAAATGTAATGCTAACTACTTATATCAAATGCTGAAAATTAATTAATTATGCAAATTAGGTAATTAATATGTACTGATATTACCATAAAAACTATCAGGTCTGTGCAGTGTCGTATGACATCTATGTACCAAGTTTCATTGAAATGTGATGATTAGTACTTGAGATATCAGTGGAAAAACCGAAAATTGACTAATCATTATGCAAATTAGGTAATTAGTATCCACGGATTATTACCAAAAACTAATCAAAACCTAGCATTAGTTCAGAGCATCTATGTACCAAGTTTCATCAAAATCCAATGAGTGGTTGTTTAGATATCAGTGGAACAGTCATGGAACCACTAAAAAATAGCTAATTATCATGCAAATTAGGTAATTAATATGCACGGATTTTTACCAAAAATTAATCAAATCTGCGCATATGTTCAGAGCATCTATGTACCAAGTTTCATCAAAATCCAATGAGTGGTTCTTTAGATATCAGTGGAACAGTCATAGAACAGCTAAAAATTAGCTAATTATCATGCAAATTAGGTAATTAACGAGCATGGATTTTTACCAAAACCTAATCAAATCTGCACATTGGCCCAGAGCATCTATGCACCAAGTTTCATCAAAAACCGATGTATGGTTCTTGAGATAGCAGTGGAACAGTCGGACACACATACACACACACACACATACACACATACACACACACATACAGACACACTAACTGCAAAGACTCCCATTTTGTGCTTCGCACATGGGAGTCAAAAAACATGAAACAAACCATAAAAATATTTCTTTTGAGAGAATTTAACAGATGGATGCTGAACTGAATACAGACATATCGTGCAAACACCATTCATTTGTTCAGTGAACAAACAGAGTGTGAAAACGAGCCAACATGTGTAGGATATAATGATTTTAAATGTAAACAGTATAAAATGCTAGCAGTGGTGAGGGTGAGATGGTCTGGTTGAGGTTAGCAGTGGTGAGGGTGAGATGGTCTGGTTGAGGCTAGCAGTGGTGAGGGTGAGATGGTCTGGTTGAGGCTAGCAGTGGTGAGGGTGAGATGGTCTGGTTGGGGCTAGCAGTGGTGAGGGTGAGATGGTCTGGTTGAGGTTCTTTGATTGCATCCCTTCCCTGGCAATTTTTTTCAAAATTAGACAATGACAGACTGTACTATCGGACAGAATTGGTGTTTTTTTCCTCATTTGAACGTTGTATGGTACCAAACCACCGACAATGTGCATATGTATAATATTATGTTATGTATGACGTATGTGTGAAGTTTGAATGTAATTGGTCCAGACATGTCGAAAAAAAAAAAGGTCAATCCATATGTCCTTGTTCTGATGCAGTTCGAAAACGGCAAATAACACATATTTTTCAACATAAAAACCTCAGGGCTTCACTCTATCAATCAACAAAAATAATATATGAAAAAAACATACAAAATTAACATACCTGTTTTTCAGGGTATTTGACATATCTCCAATATCTACTACTGAAGGCGAGAGCTGTAGCTGCATTCGATGGTAATTTATGATCGGGAACAATCATTTCAAATCTTAACTGATGCTTATAATCTCTACCATCATGACTATCAATTATACCGATGTGACGTAAACATCTTGTGAGTTCTGCGTCATCTATAGCGCCTCCGACCATATCTCCACAATTATCAAGCTGTGGATGCAATTTGTCCAGGGCATTACGACTAATAACGTAACTTGAGCCACTCTTCTCGCCTAGAAAAACATGTCCAGAATATCCAGGTATACTTGTGTTGTGAATCATTAGCATATATCGGAGATTCTCCGGGACGATCATGATGTTGCTGTCAGTTTTTAGGTACCAGTCAAAGTCCTTTCGATAGTTTTCGTACACGTGACGAAAACCTTGTTTCACACGACTCCACGACTTGTCTTTTTTTTCTGGGATATCAATATGTAATACGTTGTTAAGTTTTTTATCCGTCCCACTGCTGACGAACATTAGTTTATTGCAATGTGAACCCCACGTCTCGCTAATCGCCTTACTCAGTTTCGTCAGCTCATTTCCATTCACATACACCATGCATAAGATACGAACTTCACTATAAAGGAGGTCACTCTCACTTTTCGGGTAAAAGTCTTTGTTCTTCAAGTTGATCATGAGATCTGTTTGAGTTATTTCAAACTGAGTACCATTTTGTCGATAGTAGTAACTGTGTTCGTATCTTCCTGTTTTTATGTCATCGTTCGTGTTCCAAAATACTTGCATTTTGAACATATTGGTATACGCCGTTTTATGGTACATGTTCAAAATGAGAATGCACAGACACCCCGTCACGATACCAAGAACAAACGAAAAATATCCAAACTTCTCCATCTTGCTCTGAGGTTCCTACGTCACACTCTGTGAGAAATAAAAAAAAATGAAAAAAATTGTTTTAAAATGCAAATACATTATTTATGGTATACTATATGGTACAGCATTTACTGTTACAAAATAGACTCCCGGCTGAAAAAAACAACAACTACATGGCCTGCTATTATAAAGTTGCTGTATGGTTTGCTTAGAGGGTCTCAAGACTGCTGGGGTCAGAACTGGTTAGATAAAATAATCTTTACGAGGGTGTGCAGTTTGGCTTTAAATTTACACTTGGAAGACATAAATGATTTAAGTTCTACACAAACTAGTACAGAAAAACACTATTTCTGTGAGCTTGAAAATGGATAATTTTCAAATCACTACAATGAACAAGGTGAATATCTAACATTACCCCTAGATAATAATACTGTAGAATACTTTAATTTCGCTTGGAATTTATTTTCGCTATTTTCGCTGAAGGGATGATTCCGTGAAAATAAAATCTAGTAAATATACTTTTTTTCCTATATTTCACATTAAACACATGAAAAATCAGTGAAAATAAATTCTAAGCAAAACGTCCAAAAAGCCTTTTCAGCGAAAATTAATTCCAGCGAAAATAAAGTATTCCACAGTATACCGGTAGTTACATTAAAAATATAGAGAACTCATTAGGAGTGTAACAGATTGACAACAACTGTATTTACCAGTGCTGAGACTTGGGATTATGCCCCACACATTATGACAAGCATCAGTGAATGTGTTCGGACATATTAGGAGTGTAACAGATTGACAACAACTGTATTTACCAGTGCTGAGACTTAGGATTATACCCCACACATTATGCCACGCATCAATGACTATCTGGACATGCCAGACTGTCAGTACATATATTTTATTTTTGAGACAATTTGTCATATGGCGATTTATTTGATTAGATTAAAAATATCATCTCTTACGGATATTCAATGTTTTCCTAATTATTTGACATTTCCTGTTTCCATGCTGGTTTGATGCAACTTGCACCTTGTTGAGATGCAACTTTTGTTGTTTGGGTATCTGAAAAACTATGGTGGTAGGAATAGTAATAATTTCACAATATGTCTTGTACAATATTCTTTATTTTCTCACCTATTTAGTACATCACAAGAATTATTTAATTAGGTCTCATTTGTTTAAAATTGATATAAATGTTATACATTATCAATATAAATTGATGTAAAGTGAAAAAAAAAGATTACTATCAATGGTTAAATATTATCAAACCTAATCAACCAGGAATCGTGTGATTACAGAATTATAGGCCCAAATTTAGACACCTGCTGAGGCTTGATGTGTTAATTAGGACTGCCTAGGCTGGTGCGTAATCACAATTCATTGAGGGCCAAGGTGCCAGTTGTTTTTAAAAACCTGAGAAAGAATTTAGTTGTAGTGGCCATGTGCTCATAATCTGAACTTTGACCTCAATAGAAACATACTTTAGTAGTATTAAGTATACAGCATTGGGTGAAAGGGTTATGCCAAATATAAAACACATTGTTAAATCAAAGAAAGCTTAGAAAGAACTCCCGTGTGCTGAAGGAATAGGGATCATGATGTAATATTCGAGAATATTTGAAAATGATAAACAAATTATGAATAATCTATTAAATAAGGAGCCACCAGTACATAGACATCATATACCTACAATAAGCCTACTTAAAAAAATGCATAAAAAGTCTACACAAAATTGAAACATTAAAAAGAAAAAAGAAATAAATCATAAAACATTGGGGGAAAATGAAATGCAACGTAAATAGTGAACAAATAAATGCCCAAAATAAACTTATAGGGCATTTAAAAATATTTTAGAAATTTAGTTAACACGGAAAACGTAAAGTAGCAAGAACAACTATGTAAATTTCTGACAAACAATCACAATCTAATATTTAAAATTCAAACCACTATCTTAATATCAATATGTGTGTCAATAAATATTATATTTATTTATTTTCAGTTACGTATATTAATAAGGAAGGCATCACAATCGTTAGAGTCCCTTTGATTGGTTCCGTATATCCCGAAAATCAACATGGTAAAATTACAACCATCATACAGCTCAGTACCATAACAAATAATAATTTACGGCAGACTTCTCGGTACATAACATTCAAAGTAATCCCCAACGCGTCTCATTTGTTACTGCGTATAAATTGACACTATCTGGGCACGTCGCACGCGATGAGTACCAACCAAAAATACACACAGGACATTTTAAGTGGCTTGAAACAAAACCTATTCGCTAATTTTCGCTTTGAAAACATCTACGACGGCTTAAAACCCTGCAACCCGTCCCGCATGTTTTTTTTTACCAGGCAGGAGACGCCGGTCAGCGTGGCGTTGCCCCAGTGGTTTCCACTGTGCATCCAGTAGTTAATGCTGACACCACGGTCTATACATTCCACATGAAGCATGTTATTCAGCTTAACCATATTTTCTTTTTTGCTCCATGGCTTAACTTAATAGGAACAGTAACTCGAACAATAAATGTGCCTTCTGATTTGAGTGATATCGTGCCGTGTAATATTCAATGAAAAAAATAGTGAAACACGAGGCCCAAGCTGGTGGTCCACATAAGGTGTTACAATTGTGTAAATATAACAAAGCCAGACACCGATTGTTTCCTTTGCTAGGTAAAATCAATGTACAGAATACTCGGATGAAACAACTAAAGTAAACTAGGATCAGCAACAATCAGCATCAAAATTGATCACAGCTGTCACGGTAAATTCAGTATGTTTTGCAAGTTTTTTTCTCTCCAAATCCCAACATATATTTACACATGTAGGCGAATTTTGTCAGCTCTGTGTAAATAGATATTTTTACTGGGAATGTGCCCCATTTTACGTACGAGAAGCCCTTACACAACGCAGTAGTCATCAACACACATTAACATTCCATACCTACTAATCGACTTGATAGCTTCGTAATTTGGGGAGGGTGGGGTGAAAGTGCACCATGCAAGTTTCCAAATGTGTAAAGGAAAATAAAGAAAAGAAGTACAATACAATGTTGGTAAGCGATACAAAGTAAATTTCTCCTTACGGCAGCGACTTGATACAACTACATTGATGCTGGAGGTCACCATATTTGTTCTTGCGTTCAATAATACGATGATAAATCAGGATTCACAAGTACAACGAATTTACACAACATTTTACCATGAAATAGAACCTACCAAACATTTTCATATCTTCAACACTGCCATGGTTTTGGCAAGGATGATTCTCACATTCATTATTTTCTTGACTGGGCTCACACAGGTTTGAATGTAATTGTACACCACACGTGAATGTAAACTAGCTTGCACAGTAATTCTTTTCACAGTCATTGAGGTTATATATTTGTTCAATTACTTATTTATTTATTTACTTATACGATAATAAAAAATCATACATGTAATTTCTTAGACCTTTTCATAATGTAAAATGATACATGTCATCTCCCGGGCGTTTGCTTTCGTTTTTGTACAACACACTGGAAATAACAAAATGGCTGACACCATCATAAATTGCTGGTCATAAAAAATAGAATACGCATGCGCAACATTATGCTAATTAGTCCAATCACCGATTCCTATTAGTTGTATTCATGCAATTGGGCAGAAAAAAATCAAAAAAAAAAAATAATAAAAAATACATAAAAAATGCAAAGTTTTAATTAAAATGTAAAATAAAACAATGAATTGCAGCAGCCAATCATTAGTAACATTTTTACCAAGTTATATAAAAATCGTTTTAATGCTTCTTGAGATATAACTGAAATAGCTTAATATTCACACATTATTATGCAGATGAGCTCATTAATATGCATGGTTCAACCAAAAAAATCAAATCTGCGCATTGCCCCAGACAAGATATATACCAAGTTTCATTGAAATCCGAACATTGGTTCTTGAGATATCGATGGAACAGACACACACACACACACACACACACACACACACACACACACACACACACACACACACACACACACACACACACACAGACACACCCACACCCACACACAGACACACACACACACACAGACAGACAGACACACTAAACTGCAAAGACTCCCTTTTTGTGCTTCGCACACGGGAGTCAAAAACAAACTGTTTTTATGATTGCAGGTCATATTTGAGTACAAAATCTGTTCTCAATAATTTTATCTGCAAATATGAAGTGAAAAGATAAAGTCATAATATATTCTCTATACCGGGACATACAATGGTGTATATGACAGCTTTTTTTTAAGTTTTCGTGAAAATATGCTGTACTCGGAATGTAGAATCATGCAGTGTGTGTCAGTTCTACACACGTTATTCAGAGGTTCGAGAATGTTACAGACTGGTGTCATGGACGGAGTGCCCCGAATAACAGACATGTGTATTCGGTTTAATATTAACAATAATTAAAATGGAATTTAAGCACGCGTGTGAAAAATGTCATCTGGCAGTCTCTGAAAAACAATGTTACACGATTCACTAGCTCGAATCTATACATAAATTGCAGTGACGGTAAATGTGTATCTTACCGGACAGATTGGACGATCTGCTGTGATATCGTCACATCTGCTTGTCAGGATAGCAATCGAAACTCAGCGAACTTGAGCACGATACCGTAGCAGTCAGAGTAAGAAACATCTTCCAGCTACTTCCTATAGACACCTTAGCATATACAGTTAAGCAATATGGCTCCCTTTTAACGACCCGTCAGCAGAAACAGAGAACAGTATGCAGTGGACAATGATGTCCTACAGTACTACTATTTATTGAGCGAAACGGATAAAGAAATAACAGCTGTACATTTACAGTTAGAAGTATAATTATAGTATTTCAATGAACTCAGAATGGTTATTGTGTTTTTTCAGAAATGATTTTCGCCTCAACATTATTGGTTGATAAAAATAGCTTTCTGCCAGGCATATATTTATAAGCACTATGGCGGGCAGGAGTATAGCTAAAGCATGCCACGGACATTTTATTTTCTTCAAATTTTGGATTTGCACCACGACACTTGGAGGACGGCTACTCCTGCAATTATTTATGTGAAACTCAGCACAGATCGTGTCATGACCTTTGATCCGGGCCTTTGATGTATTGCCTGGACAGAGTAGACAAAAAATATCAAACAGTTTCAACAGAAGATCTACTTGAGAATCAAATAGTGCTTCTATAAAACGGGAAAGTCGTAAGAAGGCACCACACAATAGGATTCCCAGGAATACACCCAGAAACTCGGGGGGGGGGGGGTGTCGCATGACGTGTTGGTCTTTTTCCGAAACTTGTAATCGAGGCGGGGCGATTACGATAATATGACTAGCGCCTTCAACGACAGTAACATGATTCTGTTTGTTTTTATCACTTTACCTTTTCGTTGAGGAAAAAGTGCGGTACTTGTTATATGTATAGATTGGAAACAAACGACTATATCAAACAATACACTCTTTTGTCATTTTTAGGGGAAGCTGGGGTCAGATGCTTATCGATAAAACGTTTTTGCAAAAATATCACATGGAATGCCTTGGATGCTTTTAAGGTAGTAACAGGGGAAAACAAGTTAAATTGATCCAGACATTTCTAAACTACTTTTACTAAGCACACTACTATAACAACCTGTATATCATCTGAAAGCTTAGATATAGACGAATTCTGTAGTGTATATGCTGGTCATAACAATGTTTGTCCACGAAATTACCTGACAACCCATATGAAGACCATAACATTTTTGTAGTCATGCAAATGACCTGTGAAATGCACAGGGCGTGTGTAATGCCGTAATACTGGCATGCTACATCTAAGAGATTCTGTTGCATCATAGAAAAATTATTATTTCACTATGAATACAAACCCGATATAAAGGAATTAAATGTTATTCTCGGTTTTATAAGACTGTCTTTTCACCTGATTCAGAGTCATTTCTGAATACTGGCGTCAAAGATAAAGATTGAGAGAGAGCATGGGAATTATTAGAATGATGAGAAGGAGAATAACACAGGTTTAGAGACATTAAAACATTAAATATTGATGTGTGATTTTCTCTAAGATTGTGAATACCATATTTGATTATTTTATATAACACATAGTAATACATATTCATAAAATAATGATTAAACATATGAAATAGTTCCAATATTAGAACACCCAGGCCATTGCCGTAAGTGAGTAAATAGTAGTATTACACAATTGATGAGGAATGTTAACATTCATTTCAGATAGTACTATATACATTGATCACATTTATATGGTTACAAGACTGAGAATATGCAAATTACCTTCGAGTTAAAAGTTCAAAGCATTAAAAGGTAGCCTACCTGTCCAAGAGATTGCACCAGGAAGTCATATGGCACTATTATTTATACTATTATTCTGTTATTTTTTCATGGTAATTTTAACCCATTAAGTTAATTTGCTGTGCGATTAGGCTTACAGAGGGCGCCAAAATCAGTGGCGGATCCAGCAAAATGTATTGGGGGGGGGAGCTTCGCTTAACATTAGGGAGCTAAAATCGCAGAGAAACTATGCGTAATCCAGATGATATGAATCGGCATGCGTTTAGGAGGCATGCCCCCCCCTCTGGATCCGCCACTGGCCAAAATAAACTGATCATAGAAACCGTTATATATTTTAGAATATTCCAATTATCCTTGACGATTCCTAGCAGTGTTTGTTATGACTTTTCAATCCTGTAAGCCAGCACGCTCATCATTGCAAAAAAGAGACCCTCGAAATAAAGCCGATTGGAAAAAATTGGTAAAAGATTAGGATATCACAGTCATGATGGTAATGTTCTCATGACTGTATTTTAATTTGGTTAAAACATTTGTGCACGTACACTCTTCGACTCGAAATTTTAAAGTTCTCAAGTTCATGTGAGAATTCAGTGAATTTTCACACTTATTCACAAAAATAAAAGCTTTAACATTTCTGAAGCTAGATTTCTCTCAATTTTTAAGCATGATTCAAAATATATTGTCGTGAAGTTTCAACAAAGCTATGGTAATGTGATTAATCATGTAGACGTTCAATTCAGACTAAACAATCTGAAATACCGATAGAGAGATAGATAAATAATTTAATGAACATTGTTAGTAGACAATAAACGTCTTTGTGTTTCACAGCAAATGGCCATACACAGCTAACCCTTGGTGTGATTCATTATTACTCTATGAATGAGTTGAAATGCCACATTCTCTGTCAATAGTATGTTTCTTCCCAATTCACAAACCATATATGTAACACTCGGTATTGATGATGATCTATTCAATCTCGAAAGCACTTGTAAAATTACCTTCGTTGATTATAATTGAATATAATTGTGTGCAATAACATATAGTGCAATTCGTTTCTCATAATGTCTACACGACCAGAAACAGACGTATCAAGAAAAACAAGAAACCGTGTTTACCGGAACTCCTAGAACACTGAAAAAAACATGTGTAGCTCAATAATTATTATTATCAATATCACTTGTTCTGACCATTGTCAACACAGAACGCAATAAGTCTTGCAAAGTTTTGATTGCGGAAAAAGATAATGCTCGATGCTATGTTAAAAAATGAAAAAAAACACAGTTCGAGGTCCGTGTATACACATCGCATGCCATGCCAACAACAAATAACACACTTTTAATCGATCAAACTTCTTTGTTAATCACTCAGTGATTTAAACATATTTAAGTACAGCTACACACGTAATACAGACGATTATTAGCCAGATGGTCTCATATACATCCTTTGTCTGAGATCTTTCCAAAAACAAATTGATGTTCGGGATCTACACAACTTTGTGTGGAATTTCTTTGTTCAAGTGAAATGAAAACTCGAATGGAAAAATAAAGCAGCAGACCACATAGGTGTTGATGAAAACAATGGTATCAAAATAATACACAAATATTCAGACAACTGCTGCATTTGCTTGTTCACATATTATTGGGTTATATTCTTTGTAAACGTCACATGATATCTCTCCTGAAAAGGATGTATAGGAATTAACGTCAAAAACACTGACAAATTGATTTGACGAGTTAGTAGTTGAGATAAAAGACAAGACACAATGGTATATACGTTTATTTGTTTTTGTTCCATTGGAATTTCACAAACTAGTGGCAACTTATATCCTCCAAGTACCATTAACATATCATCAACCTCTTCTCAGGCATGCCTGGACCAAACTATACAAATTTAGTATTGACATTACTCAAGATTGGGCTTTTGTTTATCCATGATTTTGTTTAAATCTGGTACAAAGGAAAGATATATCGCTTTGTAGCTTTTTGATTTTATTATGGCACTTCTTTGATAAATTCAGCTAAATAATACAAATAGACACACTGTCACTATGAATGTTTTTTCAACTGTATACTCGTTTGAAATTATTTGTGCAGGTATTCAGTTGACTGTTATTTTCTGACCAATAACTTGTCATCCTGTCACACATACATATAGAGTGTAGTATGGGGAGTCAACATATGATTTTCCGATAACACTGTGGTTGATTCATCCTTGATATAATTGTTTAGACACTTACGTACTAGGAAAGTTTATGGGTACATCGTTCATGTAAATGTAAAATAACCCTACTTTTAAAGTGCTTACATTGTTTGTGCGCTTATTATGATTTGGGGGTAAAATAGGCATTCAAAAGTCCATTTTTTAGTTCCAAAACGGGGAATTGTAGATTTACATCTGCGGCCTGCCAGGATCGATCTAATTCAAACTTCATACATCTGGAAACCTAAGATTTCAAAACAAAATCAGGCATTTCTGCCATCCTGCATTGTTTATAACCATCAAGTGACCTGTATCATGGCTGTAGCTGTAGACGGAGGAGGCTTTGGTGAATCAAATTGTTGTGAATACATATAATTTAATTAGTAATCAGGTTACTGCATAATCGCGTTAGTGGTTTATGTGTCAAAACTTTCACATGACCATGGTTTATTCAGTACAGCCACGGACATTATAGAACACTCATTGGCCAATTCAATACAACCGTGGTACAAATATAAGATGCAACAGTTTTTCCTACAGTAAACTAAAATGTACCACAAATGCGATGGGATGAAATAGTTACTATCGCTTTCTTGCTGTAAAAGTGTAATATTCTGGTATGTATAAATGTAAGATGGAGTCAATTATTTTTTGTTTATAAGAATAATACATTATTGTTAAATTAATTAAGTTACCATTTAAAATCGTGATCTGGAGTAACAACACATTTCGAAATAAATCTAACTGTACAATAATTTTAAAGCGATGTAGTCAAACCAGTAGATGTCAGTGCTGTAGACATTGAATTCGACTCGTCCGTCACTATGATACTTGGAACATTGTCCGGTATTATTACTTTGTCCTCCGTCATAAAAGAGCTGAAATGAAAATAACGTTGCGTTTAATAATAGTGAATGCCATATCAGTGACCGCTTTGATTTGGAACGCCTTCATTAGACACACTGTGATACTGACAGAATAAAATGTACTCAAGGTAGTACTTATCATCAGCGAAACATACACATTCATCTAACATGCTTTTTCAAAAACAAAACTACCGCTTCATTGTGAAATAAGTTGCTTTGTTTTCGTTTGTTTGTATCTGTATTCGTATATTCATATGCTTTCCAAAATCTGATTGTTGAGTTGACTTTTACGTAAACAGAAAAG